GTGTGCTCTTCGGGAAAGGGTGACTTCATCTTATAAAGCTACACATGCTTTAGTTAAGTGTGTAGTGAAGAGGCCTTTGAATTTTAATGATCTGATTATGGAGATATTTTTAGTTATCTTCCAAATATCAGAAAAAAAATAAATACTAGCCAAAGTAAAAAAAAAAAAAATACTTAGGAAAAATTTTTTTCTTTGACTAAAACATTATTTTCCTCCTCTGTCAACTAAAGCCAACAGCAAACCTGGAGAAAGCTGCAGCCATGGTGGGCAGGGCCGTCCCTTCTGGCGTCTCCAGTGGAATTAATGCCCTCTTGGGTCAGAGCAGCCTCCTCCTTGGGCCTCCTCAGGACAGACCTCCTGAGGCCTGGCTGTACTTCTCTTTGGGTAAACTGTCTTCAGTTTGTCCAGAATAAGCTTTGCCATGTCATCGGTTGTCAGCAGTAGCAGTGTCAGTTGAGAATTTCAATTATATATTAATGCTTTATCAAATGACTACCTGATGAAAGCTCGATTATTCTGATGTAGTTCAGCCAGAATTCTGAGCCGTCATCTTACCTGGTTAGCAGAATAATTAGCCAACCTAAAGAAGAAAGCCCTTTTTTTTCTTTTGAATTGTGTATCTTTTACTTTATCTCAGTGACTGTAAGGAACCTTCAGTTACAAGGTATGCTTTTATGTACCAACAAGAAGGTGGAGGAGCTTAAGGTTACAGAATGCCATCGATTATAAGATCCAATCCAATTTCAGAGGTGTTAAAATGTTGGCGGGGGCGGGTGGTAAGAGAAAAAGGAATCTTAGAATCAGTAGATCATGTCTATATAATACATACATAGAGTTTTAGATGGGTTTTGATCATAATCATAATATTAAAGTAGAAAAGAAGACTATATTAAATAAATCATTATTTCTGCCAAACATGATACAGATTCTTTAATTCTAGAAATCTAGATAAGAGAGATTATGTTGTCAGCAATTTTACACATGAGGAAACTTAATATGAGATCACCTAGAGTACATATAAATTAGAAATTGATTACCTGGTTTACTAAAGTATCTTAAACTTTACAAAATAGATCATAGTAGTATTCCTTTAAATATCTATCATGAGAGTATTTTGTATGATATATTTTATATGGTGTTTTTCAGGATCACCTCATTTAACATATGATAGAGAATGATTTTGCATTTAGATGAGTTAATAGTCCAAACAAAGTACACCCAGACACAGCTATAATCATCAAATATCATGTTAACTGTTACATGAAATTTTAAAAGAATCATTGTTCTTGCCTTCACAGAATTGTCACATTCTACCTTTGGACAGTTTACCCAAACGTAATGTACAGTTTAAGGTTGACTGGAACTTGGTGTGGAGGAAAGGAAATGCAGTGAAACAGCCCGTGAGCTTCCTCCCTCCAGCCACAGGGAGGCATGCCTTGCCCAAGGGTTTGTCTTGGCTTTCCTCATACCTGGTGCTAGAACTCGCGCCGCGTCGTTGTGGAGAGGCCAGACTGAGTTGCTGGTGTGGACCCTGCTGAGTGGCTCTGGATGGCCTGCTGCTTTGGGCTCTCAGGAGGAGGGCACAGCTCGGCATCTACCAGGAGGTGGTCTTGAAGTCCAGGGTCACTCGGCCTGGAGCGTGTCTTCCGGGGCTCGGCCGAGCGTTGGGCGGGACCTGGTCACAGTGCACCACAGACACCTTGATTGAGCCTCACCTGCAGCGTCGGGAGGAGAGGCGAGCAGCTCGGCGGGCCGAACAAGCCTGCGGATGGGCGAAATGTCCGTGCTGTGAAGCAGGAGGATGAGGAGGGCAGGGAGCCGGATGAGCCTTCGGGTGTTTGTGTTTGGGAAGATTGTATCACAGATGTTCCCTGCTTTGGGTACCAGTGTTGCTAATAGTGGAAATTTACCTTTGCAGGGTGTGTTCAGCTTTTATCAAAGTGCTTTCACAGACCTGTAAGCTTTCAGGATTATCCTGAAAGGACTGAGCTGAGTGGAATCACCCCATTTGACAGACTCCAGAATGAGGCTCACAGATTCTGAGTAACTAACCCAAAGGTCACGTGTTATTGGCTCTTACTTTTTTCACTATACTGTGTTGCCAGTGCTTGACTCAATATTTATTTCCAAATTTAGCATACATATAGTCCTGTTTTCCAGTAGCTGCTTCTATCTTTAGGAACTGTCAACATTTTGTCACTTATATATGTATTTTTTTCCCTCCAAAATCACAGGCATAACTTTTGCTCAGTATTGAAGAGAAAAATAAGCAAAACCAAAACACTGTTCCATCGTAATGTATCAGATTATATTACTCTTCTCTCTTAGGTTCTGGAAACGTCCAGCCTGCCTTCTTTAAACTTCAGTCACCTTCCCTGCGGTAGCTGTTTAGATGTCTTGCAGTAAACACAAGTCCAGGCAGGAGTGCGGGGTTAGAGCGAGTTAAACAGGAGCTGCCAGTGTTGTCAGTTGTTGACAGGGTTTGTTGGTGCTAACCGTGAGTGGCTGGTTTTATAATTTTCGTTTTGCTGGAGAGCCTGTTCTGTTACTGCTTCCCCATGACTGCTGCTCCCGCGTTCCTTCCTGTTACAGGTCCTCTCCATTGCTTTCCAGAAAGGGGCTTCACATTTGTCTAGCAGTTTCTTCCTGCAGGGCAGAGAGTATGTGTATGCTCATGATTTTCATAGCTGTAAATTTGGACCTGTAGTTTTCTTTTAAAGTAGATTGGAAATACAAAGAAAAAGCATTACGTAAGGATGTGGGGTGATTACTGTGGGTGAAAATTAGAGTGAGTAGAACAGACACAGTTGAAAAAACAGGCAGGGAATCTGCACCCTAGTCCAGACATTGCCCACAACCTCACTGTGGAGTTTTCTCAAATCCCTTAATCTTCTGGACCCCCTGGTTACCTTATCTTTGGGACAGAGTTGCAATTAAATGATTGCTCTCATCTTTTTAGTTCCAAACCTTACTCAAGTCCCCAAACTGAATAAACTAGATTCTCCTATATGAAGGTAGTTGAGTTCAGTTCAGTCACTCAGTCATGTCCGACTCTTTGTGACCCCATGGACTGGAGCGCACCAGGCTTCCCTGTCCATCACCAATTCCTGGGGCTTGCTCAAACTCATGTCCATTGAGTCATCCAACCATCTCATCCTCTGTTGTCCCCTTCTCCTCCCGCCTTCAGTCTTTCCCAGCATCAGGATCTTTTCCAAGATGAGTCAGTTCTTCACATTAGGTAACCAGAGTTTTAAAGTTCCAGCTTCAGCATCAGTCCTTCCAATGAATATTCAGAACTGATTTCCTTTAGGATTGACTGGTTTGAGCTCCTTGCAGCCCAAGGGGCTCCTTGCAGTCCAAGGGATATGAAGGTAGGGTGTCTGGCAAACCTTCCAGTGGTAAGGAAGATGAACTAAGTGAGTTTAAATCCTGTTCATAGTTTTATTATTATTGGGAATTGGATGGAAAGAGATAAACGTGATTGAACTTTCCAGCAGTTATAAAATTAAATGAAATCCACTGTTGTCAGCTAACCTTTTAAGCTTGGCTTCTAATCTTACTCACCATTGCATGCTCGACACCTATTACACTGCATGATCAGCATGTTGTATTTTGAGAATACTTTCATAAAAAATTGATGGGCTTCTTGACTTGACCTATTTATTTACTTTATTAGGGCAAATTAACCATGTCTCATAACGGCTTTGAAAATTCAGAACATGTAGGAACAAATGATATGCTAGACAGAAAGAAATCTTAGAGGCAAAATTTGATGGTAGATACCAGGCTGGTAGTCTTTATTCTTCGACCCAGTGGGTGGTGTTTCTGGATTACAGATTCAATAGAGGGGTTTTTAACTATTTGAGTTTAATTTCAAGGGGAGTAAAGAAGTCATTATTTGTGTTTAATAAACTATAGAAATAAAAGTGATATGATGAATATTTTGACTGTTCAAATTAACCTGAGATTTCCATAACACTTTATATTGTTCTGCATCATGAATTATTCTAAAAGACAGATATGGCTTCTGTTCTAAAAAAAAAAAATGCAAACTCCCAATTTTGCATGCAGTTTGAGGGGTTTCATGGGCTCCATTAGGTTGATGAAGCCTTGTCTTTTTCCATATCTGGTGGCTCTTAATCCAAATTCCCAATAGGAAAAAACCCTGGATGTTAAGCCTTAGAAGTCCTTAGAAATAATCTAGACCAGTGTTTCTTCAACTGTGGTCTTTAAGCCAAGGGACTGTATCAAAACTAATATTTAAAGGAAAAGAATAAAACAAAATATCAGAGTGTTTCATAGCATGCTAAGCGCAAGTTTTGTTTTGTAACCTGTGTTTTCATTTGTGTATAGATCCGTGTGTTTATGTGTGTCGGTACTAGGTCTGAAGACAAAAGTAGATTTCTCACTGTGGGTTGAGGATGAAGTTTGAGAAACACTCCTCAGTTCTGGATGAGCGTCTGCACTGTGCAGGCGCTAAGTTGTTCATCTTTTCCACACTTGGCATTTTTTTTTAAGCATTCATTTTTCCCACTAATTGTCTCTTTCATCACCCTTTAAAATAATTCGGGCTTGAGCTGCTTTTCCTGAGTATTGAAAAGTATTTGGGGGCCTCTCCATTGGCCTTCTCAGCCTGCACATCTGAATCATAGAATCTGACTCTGAGAGGCTAATCAGAATTTCAGAACAAGACATGAAGGTTCAAAATGAAGTTATTTTGAATTATTTGTCCATTCATTTGAAAATTGAAGGTGATATGTGGCCCCAGATGTTGATACCAATCATTGAGAAGACCTTACAACATTCCCTTACTCATCTGTGTGAGGCTTTCTCAAACTCGAATGTCATACAGATGACTTGGAGGGTTCTGTTGAAAACGAAGGTCCGAAGCAAAAACCGGCCGAAAACAAGGTTCCAACAACCCCCCAAGAAAACCCGCCGCCCCCCGGAACAAAAGGGCAAGCACAAACCCCACGGAATAAACGCCTCATTATCGTGGTAAGAAGAGGGAGCTCTCAGTAAGCTTCTGTTGTGGTTTTATTAGCATTTTCATGCCTTTCCAAATTGGCTACAAAAATTAAAATGTCTTTCTTGTTTTTTAAAAGCTGGATTAGTTTTTGTAGTGAAAGACATGTCTTTAAAACAGCCATCTCCTCAGTCCCCACATCCGAGAGGAAGGGCAAGGCTCCTCTTTGCAGCACTGTTCTAGATGATTCCAATTTAACACACATTTCCAGGCTTCTCTGCAAAACTTAACTTTCTAAATAAAGAGCATTTTCTAAAATATTATATAATTTTCTTTCTTAAATTATTACGTGTGCTTTTCCCTTTATTCTAGCCACATAAGAGCAGTGTTTTTTGTAGGCACAGGTGAAGGCTGTTGAACTATATGCAAAAAATGAATAAAAACCACGAAACTACATGCTTGTGTCTGCCTATTATACCTTTTCTATTTTGTCCTTCCAGCTGCTGGTAAGTCTGCCTCAAAAACCTTCATTTCCCTTCCATTCTAACTGATTACTTCTGACCTAAAAAGCCAGCTACTAGATTTGTTAGAAATACGCAGGGAATTAATCCCAGTCAAAAGGAGCTCCCTGGCGTGTAGCCTTTCCTGGGAGAGTGGTGGTCAGGAAGCGCAGTAGCGCCTGAGCCTGAGCGAAACCCTTTGGCTCTAATTCTACTCTGAGGAGTCAGCTCTGATGGGCGCTCACTCGCTTCTTCTCTGTGCCTCTCTCCGTGTGTGTTGCTCCCTCCCTCTCCCTCACACACACACACGCTCTGTGGTGAAGTGGTGTGCGCACGTTCACGTGTGCGTGCACCCTGTGCCTGAGAAGGCGGTGCACGTGCAGAAGCGGCGCCTCGGGGTCTGCAGAACCAGGGGTGGAGAACCTGTGCTAAAGACCATGGTCTCTGCGCTCAGTCTGTCCTGCAGTGGCTTTGTAAGCAGGTCTGAGAGTGACGTGATGACAGCAAGGAGGGCATGCCTCAATGCTCTTAGTGACTCAGGGTCCCAGGGGCTTAAAGTCTGGCTTCCAGTGTGCGCTCTTAGTGGACCGTTGGTCATAACGGCGACCGAAGGGCCTGTTCCTTGGACCCTCGCTGTCAGGCACTGACTATTCGGATGGCAGTGCTGCAGTCCCGGGCTGTGGTCCTGGAGGGGCGGCAGATGGGGCCGCCCTTGGGAGCAGCCAGAGTGCCGGGCTTGTCTCATCAGTCCCCCTGGAGGTACCTGTGCATGTGTGGAGCCTGTCCTTACTCAGCAAAGCTAGAAACTGTTGGAGGATTCACGTCTGTGAAAACCACATAGCAGTCGGTGTTATTCTGATTCAAAGCAGAGGGAACCTGTTTGCATCTTAACTACATAGCATCAGAACATACATTATTTTGCATAGTCTTGTTAATGACTGTGTGTTAGAATTTGTGGATTATATTCTTTAAAATTGTGATGAAGCTAAATGTAACCATAACATTTAGTTTGGATTTTTCGAAGTTCTGAACAGGGCCCCATTTCACATATTTTTAGTGAGTTGTAACCTTTAAATGCTGATTACCAGATTGGTCTCATTTGAATCTTATTTTTACATTCAGAATGTGTCTTATGTTTCAGTGCAGCTAAACCTGCTGGTATCATTTTAGTCTAATTAACAGTATTTTGTGATCTGGGACTCCTGTCAAAGTTCATTATAGGAGCTAGAAAACACTGGAAGGTAAAATGAACACATGACCTCATCTCCTGTTTTGCACTAGACTCTAACTTGCATTCGAAGAGACTAAAAATGGAACAAGAAAAATTTCATTCTTTTATTACATTAAGCTCTAATAAATGTGTTTAATATGACTTCTCTATGTGTAATCCCTTTTAGCTGGTAAAATGGAGGGTTTTGTTTGAAGCACTAGAAACTAAATGCTGCCAGGAGAAAGATTTTACTAGAAACATAGAGTAGATATCAGTCTCTAAGCTTTGTTAATTGATCCTGCTTGTTTAACTGGGAAAATAAAAATGCACGTCTGCTGAAGAGAACTCTGTGGACATAAACTCTTCCTGTTTTAAAATATGTTTCATAGGTGTTTATCTTATTTAAATGTGCAGTCATATAGTAGCCAAGAGAATGCAACTGCTGTTCCTTTAACGTCAGAACGATGCACGCTACAATAGGTGTCACTGTTTGGCTTGGTCCAATCATGGTTGGTGACTTCAGCTATTGGCTCTGAGCACTGGCTGTCTGACTCCATCTGCAGGGCTGTAATACCCACTCTCCTCCGGTCCATTCACCACACAACTTCAGCCGGCTGAACAGACTCACGCAGCTCCAGCACATCTTGATAACCTAATTCAGAAAACAAGCACCACGGCTCTCTCTGCCTGTCGTCTCCTCTCAGTGTAGCGTTTTCAGGCGATCTAGGAAACTGGGTTATTTTTATGAGCAAATAAGAGAAACAGGAATCATGATGGGGATGTACTTAACAGACCCAGTACTGGATAAAACTTAAAACCAGTGTCTCATTCAACATAGTAAAAAGGTCACCTTGCCTGCCTGAGAAAAGAAGCAAAATATCAGCTTGTTGGTTTCAGTTCTCATCTCAGCTCGTGCTAGCCTCTTTTCCCTGATGCTCGCACCGACTTGGGATATCTGGCTATAAAGAGAGACCTACTGTACTCATGGTAGATGACAAGGAAAGGAACATGAAATGTCTCACCTTCTTCTTGATGCTTCCAGAGACGGTAAAGAACAGGTCCAAGAAAAGCTCGAAGAAAACAAATCCCAGCAGCAGCAGCAGCAGCAGCAGCAGCAGCAGCAGCAAGTTGCCTCCGGTTTGTTATGAAATAATTACCTTGAAGACTAAAAAGAAGAAGAAGATGGCTGCTGATATATTCCCCCGCAAAAAGCCAGCCAGCTCCAGCGGCACCACTGTCCAGCAGTACCACCAGCAGAATCTCAGTAACAACAACCTTATTCCTGCCCCGAATTGGCAGGGGCTCTATCCCACCATTAGGGAGAGGTAAGTGCCGGGCCAGCATGTTTACTTGAAAAGTTTTCCTGTGTTGAAGTCTCTGCTTTTGCACAACCTGTAATGTATTTTAACATAAATCTGTGTTTCCTCTTTTCCCAGCAGCTTTATTGGTAATGGAAAACTGCCTTGTATCTTTTCCAGAGCTGTACAGCTGTTTTCCTCTTAGATAAAAATGTTTTTGTAAGCTGTAACATTTAAGTGACAGGGTTGTGTCTTTGGGTTATAGGAGGTAGAAACCTCTTATTTGTCCTTAAGTCTAAAAAAAAGTTTGGATAACTTTTTTTTTAAACTTTAGTTACTTTCATATGTTTGCAGTGATTACAAATGCAGTTGTATAGTTGGAACCTTTATTTGTAGTTTTATCCCGAAGTTACTCAGTGGTTGTTTATCTTGTGACTCTCCCCTCGGTTTTTTATGTTGGGGAGGGGGTGTTACAGTGCTGTGAATTAATGAATCGCCTCTGTTTATAGAAATGCGGTGATGTTCAATAATGATCTGATGGCAGACGTACACTTTGTGGTTGGGCCACCAGGCGGGACGCAGCGGTTGCCAGGACACAAAGTAAGCAGCAGCTGCATTGCCGGCTTCGCCCTGAGCTCGCCACAGAGGGGCCCTCTCCCTGAGTCCCGAGCGGGGCTGGGCAGCTTGCAGGCAGTGCTCGGTTCCCCATCGCAGAGCAGGCACAGCCTCTCCAGAGGGCCTTGGCCACGCTTAATTTTTTTTTCTTTGTTTCCTTCTATCCTGCTTTATATCCCCCACAAAAACATGCCCCCTTCACTCCCCAGTCATAGGAAGTTGTTGTGATAGGTTTGGAAAGTCATACGTTGACCCTTCTCCTAGAAATCAGTTAGATATGCTTTTGTTTATTTTATACTGAGGGACCCTGCGTGTATTAATCTCTGAAAGCCTTGATAATTAGCAGCACAGAGACTGGTTTGCATGAACTTCTGTCTTTTGCTTTCATAGCCAGATCCTCTGGACCTTGGCTTTGTCAGTAGAGCAGGTGTTAGGTGCTCTGTGTCCACTGACCACTTTAGGGTTGCTTTTCTGGAATGATTTGCTGAAAATGTTTTCAATTTGGTGCATGAAATAAGATTTCCCCTTTTCCACAGTACGTCTTAGCTGTTGGGAGCTCTGTGTTCCATGCAATGTTTTACGGAGAACTTGCCGAGGACAAAGATGAGATCCGTATACCAGATGTCGACCCTGCGGCTTTCCTCGCCATGCTGAAGTAAGCCTCACACGTGTGTTTGGGAAGAGTCTGGGCTGTGTTTGTGCTCCGCTGGCTCCACAGTTAAGTGTAACTTCCAGGTAACACAAAAGAGGCTGACGAAGAAAGGGGCGCTGCTCTACCCAATAAATGTTTTCAAAGAACACTCCTGTGCATCCTGCCATGGAAAGCATGTGGGATGAAGCAGGCGTTTCTAATCACACCTTTGCGTGGGATTTAGGGGCAAGTGGCATACAGTGATTTCATCTTTAATGACTTAGAATTAAAGATAACTTTCTGGTTAGGGATTATCTAACAGAATATGTTCTCTGTGTGAAGTCTTTAGAAACACATAAATTATATTTTGGTGTCACAATGCCAGAAATTGTATGCATTATTTAAATTCTACCAGTTAGGAGGTTTTTAAGTTTTCTAGGAGTTATTGTTTCCTGTCAGCAAATATAAAATTAATTATCTGATCTTGATGCACACATACATATACATGTTCTCACAAAAAGTCACATACCATTTCTCAAGGGTAAGAAGCATTTGCATTTTGTAGTAAAGGAGAAATTTTTGAAAGATTTGATTAATTTTCTATAGTTTTATATGGATTTGTTCAGAAAAACTTTAATTGGTCATTCAGAAATACAGTTATAAGATACACATTTATTTAAAAAATAGTTTCCTATCTCATGAGTCTTTCAGAATCCAGTACATGTTAACCAGGTAAATAGAATCTTCTTCTCTGACGTGGCTTGATGCTGGACAGTGTTACAGTCTTCAGTGTGTGATTAGAGTCCAGTGATTGTTCTAAGTGATGTTTAGGTGATTTTTGTTGAGCTTTATTCTAGCAGACCAAAGTATATCAGAGTTCAAGGTTATGTGTTGCTGTGGGGATGTTGAGTCATTGGAGTGCATTACAATGTTTGTTGAAAAAAAAAAATATTCATTGGGTCAAGTTGGACAGTAATCCCACAAACAATTAAAATGTTAATATATATTGTTTTCTGCCTACTGAAAAATAAGTATTATAGTTAATTCCTAAACTTTAAAGTGTTGTAATTCTTTATTTATAATCTAGTTTTGAAATCTGTTACTCTTTAGAACTTTCACAGTGGGAGAGGTTGGGAAATTAGAGGCAAATGAGCATGTAAAGTACCAAAACATAAACTAATCCACCTCTTTCAACCAACAGAGACTTTATGACTTTTGTAATCTCTTAGAGATCTACTTATAGAAACCTGTCTTACCTGTAGGGATTTTTGTGTGCTGTTTTCCCCCATGAGGTTAGCTTTGTATATTCGACATTGTTTCTGTTGCAGAGGAGAATGCTGACACTAGTTTGGTGTTTTGGCATCACTGTAGTCAAGTAGAGTGTTCTGTTGCTGCAGAAATGTGTGCACAATTAGAAAGCCCGAGTACTAGCTACACAGTTCCATTTCACCGGAGCCGTTTGATTCATCATTTGACAAGCATCTTTTCTTATAAATGTGTTGCCTAGAATATATCTTGACACAGCTTTAAAAATTATATGTGCAGTCCATGTAAAGCGGTGAGGATCAGAAGCATAGCAGGTGCCGTTTACTGCCGTGCCATGCTGGATCAGCACTGCGTGATCACCTGGGCGAGCGGAGGCCAGCCTTGCTTCACCCCTGTGTTGTGGGTGAAGCAGCAGTACTGCTGAGAAGGGCGTTGCCAGGAAGGAAGAGAAGGCTGCTCGCTTGCCCGCCAGGGTGAGAGCCGCAGAGTGCTGACCGTGCTGCAGAGTCCTCCTGCGGTCCCCATGCTCCAGCATCACTGCTGCGGGCATCTTGGCCAGCAGTCTTGCCATCTTGCCAGTAGCTGTCTTAGTCTATCAGAGAAGAGTAAGGGCTTCCTTGGAGCACAAGTGCAGCTTCCATTTGTGATTGCGATCATTGTTCTCATTGCCATCCTTATATTTTTTTGTATTTTCTTACAGAAGCCCTCTAATTTCTTGTTTCACTAAGGAAAACTTCATAGCCAAGTTGCTAAACACCTTAGCTAGAAACTTTAAAAATTATATTTATTAGTATGTATTTTTCACCTGTGTGCAGTTCTCACTGACTTACCTCTTGGTCAACAATAGAATATGAAAGAAGCAGATGATTTCTACCTTGACATACCATCCTGGGAGATTGCCCCTGTCCCCCAAAACAGTAAGAAGTGTCTCCTGGAATGCAGACACTTCACAGAAGCACACAAATAGTGCATATTTAGGCTTTCTTACTTTATCTTTTAATTAAATATGTCTGGAAATAATGTATTCTTTAATTCTGAAGGTGGAAGGAATGTGTGGAGGAGAAGAAAGAATTTAGAGTTTTACAAAAAAAAAAAAGCAGATACAAAGCCTGCATTGGATTCTATGTAAAGTTAACTGTGAGATAGCATCAAGTATCGAAGCCCGTACTTAAATATCCACTGAACTTGGGACTACTTGAAAAATATCTTTTTAAGATCAGATTTTATTTTGTGCTTCAGGAAAATCCAAGTCATTCTTAGTTAAAAAGCATCAAGATGCAATCATTGTAACATTACAGTATTAAAGATATTTGTTTCCATCTGAATGCAGAGAAAAATTTTTAAGTAAAACTATATACATATATTTCTCATAAAACAAGGGAATTATTTCTAATTAAATATAATGCAGTATATATATTATATAATTTTGCTATTTTTCCCCTAGTATTAACTATCTTTGATCTCAGCCCTTTCTCAAACACTTCTCGAATCCTCGATTTTTTCCCCCCTTTGAGAGGACAGGGAACATAGCTTTAAGATAGAGGCTACAGTGGTTACATGAAGTTAATGTCTTTAATTATACACACTTTCTACTAAATTGAAGTGCATTTATGAATGTATTTCAGATGTTGCTATAATGTGTAATCATTTTTGTAATAACTGCCACATAAGATGATTTTCTTGGAACTAACTTGAAAGTAGTTGCATCTTTTCTTGCTGGACACGCTCATTTGGTGAAAATTCCATTTACACGCCGGACTCTTTCTTGCAGATACATCTATTGTGATGAAATTGACTTGGCTGCTGACACGGTCTTGGCCACTCTTTATGCTGCCAAAAAGTACATCGTCCCTCACCTCGCCAGGGCCTGCGTCAATTTCCTGGAGACCAGCCTGAGCGCCAAGAACGCTTGTGTGCTCCTGTCCCAGAGCTGCTTGTTCGAGGAGCCGGACCTCACCCAGCGCTGCTGGGAGGTGATTGACGCTCAGGCCGAGCTGGCGCTCAAGTCCGAGGGGTTCTGCGACATCGACTTCCAGACCCTGGAAAGCATCCTCCGCAGGGAAACTCTGAATGCCAAAGAAATTGTGGTCTTCGAGGCTGCCCTCAACTGGGCTGAGGTGGAATGCCAGCGACAGGATCTGGCTTTGAGCATTGAGAACAAGCGCAAGGTGCTGGGCAAGGCGCTATACTTGATCCGCATCCCGACCATGGCCCTGGACGATTTCGCCAACGGTGCTGCGCAGTCCGGCGTCTTGACTCTGAACGAGACCAACGACATCTTCCTGTGGTACACGGCGGCCAAGAAGCCCGAGCTGCAGTTCGTGAGCAAGGCCCGCAAGGGGCTGGTGCCGCAGCGCTGCCACCGCTTCCAGTCCTGCGCCTACCGGAGCAACCAGTGGCGCTACCGGGGCCGCTGCGACAGCATCCAGTTCGCCGTGGACAAGCGGGTCTTCATCGCGGGCTTCGGGCTGTACGGCTCCAGCTGCGGCTCGGCCGAGTACAGCGCCAAGATCGAGCTCAAGCGGCAGGGCGCGGTCCTGGGGCAGAGCCTCAGCAAGTACTTCTCGGACGGTTCCAGCAGCACGTTCCCCGTGTGGTTCGAGCACCCGGTGCAGGTCGAGCCGGACACCTTCTACACGGCCAGCGTCATCCTGGACGGCAGCGAGCTCAGCTACTTCGGGCAGGAGGGCATGACGGAGGTGCAGTGTGGCAAGGTCACCGTGCAGTTCCAGTGCTCGTCCGACAGCACCAACGGCACGGGCGTGCAGGGCGGCCAGATCCCCGAGCTCATCTTCTACGCCTGAGCGCGCCGGCTCCCGCGTCCCGCTCTGCTCGGCCGCAGTCAGCGGGCGGCGGGCTGTTCGCGAGGGTCGGAGCTCTGCGGTTCTGCTTTCTTTCGACCTTTTTCGTTATGTACAGGCGAAAATGCAGCACTCGGCTTTTAACTGTATGCCGGAAAGCCAAATTCTTAGCAAGGCTTGTGGTTCTTAGAGTTGCATCTATCCACCCGGGGAGATTTTGCATTCTTCTCCAACTGCCCCACTGACCTCCCAGTTTAAGAACATTTTTGGATCACCTCAGATTTCCTTTTGGGCTTTATTTTGACAAAGAGAAAGAAATACTCTAAAATAACAGTAGCAATTATTTTTAAACGGAAACCCTCCCTCTCCCCAAACAGATAAACCTCAGTGTACAATTTTGAAAGACATTTTGCTTGATAATAATTTAGAAAGTAGACAGTAGTCATCTTTACCTTCTTATTTCCTTTTACATATTTTGGGCATTTGCTTTTGGACATTGCTTCTTCTTAAATCCTAAATTCATAAGTTTCTTAAATTTTTAAACTGCAGCTGTCAACAGAAGGTAAAACAAGAAATTGGAAGTTTTAGATCACGACTTTTGTTACAAGCAAATTTATGTTCTTTTAGTTTAGAAGACAGGCAGTTACAGTACAGAGGCTTCTTTTAAAAGTAACTAAATTGCAAAACTTTATTGTCAACTAGAGAAAAATTGCAGGTCTGTTAATTGAAATTAAAATAGTCTTAAAAGGAAGCCTGAAAAAAGTCCCACGTGACAAATAGTTTAATTGATGGCACGTTATAATCCAGAGTTTGAAAAAGTCAAGCTCTTTTCTCCCTCCTGAGCTTCTGATCCCTGCCACTTGCTGGTTTTCAAAAGTTGTACTGTATAGAACTCCTATTCCCCCATTCCCATGAAAAGAGGACCAAACGATTTCTTCAGATGAATGGAATAACAGTTAGTTTTGTAGTGCCACATGTTAATGTAATAAGATACTTTATGCATTGATTTTTTTTTTAATCTGAAATATATTTTACCTAATCTACTTTGACCACACTCTCTCTTCGTTAATTATGATTCTGCCCCGTTCCTGGACTGCTAGAATCTGGCCTGTGACCATCTGAACGAGCCAATGTATGCCTGCAGGGTTTAAAAAAAATGGTCTGGAGTGATAAACTCGATGATACCTTCATGTTCACTGCCTCAGCATCACATCCAGTTCTCTTTTTTTTTTTTCCATGGATAGTGTAAACAAAGGAGGGAAAAGCTCATCAAAACATTCTCCTTCAGCAAAGGCTTGTGCTGGCTTAGTGCCCGTGACCCTAGTGGTGCCCACTGCGGTCGCTCCCAGTTGAAGTATCCACGTGTTTCTGGGCAGCTTCTCTGCCCAGTGTGGTCCTGAGATGGCTTCCCCGCCACCCAGAGTGTGGTCCCTGGCCACCTCCTTCTCCTGTTCTGTGAGCCCGAAGCTGGCTCTGGAGCGGGGGCTAGTCCCGGGGTGGGTGTGTGCGTGGGTGCCCGTGCGCATGCACTGCGCACCGGCTCAGGAACTGTCTCCTGCCGCCCGGCCAGCAGGGCCAGGACAGAAGGGTCCCCGGGCCGGGCCCACCCGGTCCGCAGAGGACTGCCTGTGCTTCCGGGCCGCTTCTCCCCCCGTAGACGTGGGCTGCTGCTTCGGCCGGCTTCCCCGATGGAGAAAAACACTGGATTACAGAAGTGTTTTAATCGTCTTTGCCCTTACCTGTGTCTGTTAGCATGGAGGGTCAGAAGCTGTTACCAGTGATTAACAGATGAGTGCTCCCAGGACTACCTTCCAAAATTGTCTAACAGTTATTTTTTATTAGCAAGATGACAGATAGTAGTTGTGGCAAACCGTCTATGAAACGGAGGTACGTTTTCAATTAAAAAAAAATACTTCTACAAAGGGTTTTGTTTATAAATTATGGTTAAACATTTCGGTAACTCATAGCTACCTTGCATTTGGTAGACTATAGACTTACCTGATCGGAAGGCACTTATGTATAAGCCAGAGGAAAAGAAACTTTTTAGCACTAATTTCATCATACTAGACTGTTGTTGGGGGGGAGTGTGATAACCTTGTTCATTAAGTAACACCCACGATCAGTGCTCCTCTTAGTACCTGCCCTCCAGAGGCTGGCAAACTGCTGGGTGAGAGCCCCACTAGAGCCTGTATACTGGGTATGGAAGAACTTAATTTTATGATAATTGCTGTCACTTGAAAAAGGAAAAAAAAAAAACCCGTCATCTGATTGGCTGGTGCCAAGAGCTGTGGTATAAATTTGAAGGTTGTATTTAAAATAAGAAAATGTTATCTTTTGAATCCTGTTCTCCCTTCTGCGTTTTCAATGACATGGAATTAAGCATAATGTGCTTGCTTTATTTTCTTTGGTAATCTCAAATTTTGTAGCTTTTGAAACTAGAAACCATTGTTCTGACAAGGCAGGCAACTGTAGTGCATAAACACGATTTTATGAAACACTGCCCTGTAGATGCTTTTCCCCATGTATCTGGCAGTCTTTGTTGTCGTTTATATCCTGGGGATAAGGGGAACTAGGCTAGCAGTTCTAATGTAACATTCTTTAAGCATATCTTAATATAGTATTTAAGTAAATGGTCTAATTTCTACATAATTATTGCACTGAGATGTCTTTTTTTTTTTTTAAGGTGTCTAAATAAGCTTGCTAATTCAAGACACTAGCCAGTTGTGCATCAGAGTGCTTGAATTCAGGAGCTTACAGCATTATTTATGAAGGAAAAATATATAAATATGAAGTACCTCATGTTGAATGTTATTGTACTGTATTTTTAATGTAACAGTGCAGATCTTGTTAGACACATGAATGTGTATAATCATGTTAAATGCAAATAAAATAAAACCGGTTCATATATTTGTCTTCCTTAACATTTTTGTAGGTCCCTTAAAGTAGTAAAAAAAAACCCATTCTGGCATTTTGGTGCCACTTAACCTTTTATAGAGATGGTTTTTGCAGGAGCATTTGTTTGCTGAGTTACTCACATATCATTGATCCCTAAAGAAGTAAAAATCTGGTAAAGAATAATAGAATAATGAGCATGTTAATCAGTTGCGTTGTTGGAAGCCCGAGTGTCAGGTCCATGCGAGAGTGAGTGGGTGCGTTCGTGTTCCGTTGCGGAGTCCTGTAGCTGGCCGGCGTTCTGCTGTCAGTTGCTCACAGGCCTCTGCGTAGAGCTCCCTCCGCTCACTGCTGCCGAGAGCAGGTCACATCTAGCGTTAGCGTGGCCAGTGCTGCTTACTCCTGCTGTTACAACAGCTTACATCTGGGAGTAAAGATCAATGTGATGTGACAGGGATGAGTATAATTTTATGTCCTCAACTGGTTTTCCGTTATACTTCCCTATATCAAGTACATTATATACACACATAATTATATACACGCGTTTTTTTTTTTTTTTGCTATAACTTTCTGTTACTTTTATACCAGAGTTTATTGTGGAGCCCTGTGTATTTGCTTAACTACTACTTCTACCCTTAGTTCAGTTTCTATAACAAAACTGCTCAAAGGAATTTTGGAATTATTCCATAGAATATGAGAACTGGAAATATCCATTCTCATCAGCTTAATTACAGCCTTAATTGCAAAGATCTTTAATCCAGCAAAGTCTTAGCCATTATCTCCTCTCTGGTGTTCTTTAAGCTTAACCCACATGTGTTTGTTTCAATATCCCAAGACAATTGGAAGTGATGCTCCTTTATTGTTGGCACTCAGGATCAACACTTCATTGAAATTATACTTTCCTCCCAGTGACTCTGACTTCCCTGCCAAAGCCATGGACTTAACGTTGAGGAGAAAAAAACAAAAAGACAAAACAGGAAGGAGAAAGATTATTCTTGGGGAAGTAAGTAGCATGAAACTTAGAGGCCAAAACAAGAAAGTGACTCTGAGAACCTGCAGTATCTTGTATTAGAGAGGCCTGTGTGTGCCCTTGAGATGCTGCAGTAGAAGATGACTGTGCTTTTTGATTTCTAATCAATATATTTCAGCATGTTTTCTGAGCCATTTACATTTATTGGTCAGCTACTTTCTTTGCTCAGAACTTCATGTTATCCTCCATTTTTTAAAGAAAAGATCATCTAACAAAACTAAAACTGGGGGGAAATTTCAACAATAGAACCTCTTGTTTATTTCTATAACTACCCTAAGGGCTGGTGAGAAAAGTGTTTCACCCAAGATACAGTTTGGTAGGTGTGAAGAAAATATTTGTGAGGAAGACAGTGGTCACACACCAAGCAGTATGTGACTCTGACATATGTAGATTACCCACTGAAGAGTCGGTACGTTTCCCTGAGGTGGGCACCCCTCTGTTGTTCCTTCTCAGCCTTTTTGAATGGGGGCGATGGGGAAGGTACCATTCCTGTTCATGCAGATTTTAAATGTCCTTATAATGGTAGTTTTCTATTTGCCCATTTACTTCAATGTCCATTGGACAGCAGTTGTACCAGCAGATGCTAGTGTTTTATACTTGGCCATCTGAAAAACCAAATATCAAGAAATATAGTTAAACACAAAAACCCACCATTTACTTTGTCAAATCCATACTTTTGTGTATTGGACATAGTTAATGTTTCCTGTTAAACTGCTACCCCTGAATCTTTGGTTTGTTCCCACTGCCTCCAGTAGTAACCAAGCTGAGTGGTAAGACGAGGGGCTGTGCTTTAGATGGCAGGGATGATTTTTTCACTTCATGCAGCACTAGTACACAAATTATTTCAAAATAAAGGTGTATTGTTTTGTTTTTATGACTTTGATGAACAGTTTATATTTAATAGACCATCTCTTTTACATCAGTTTATTTTAGAAGAATGAAACTATACCTGGAAAATTTTTTAAGTAAGTCATACTAGTGGGCTTGTTAACTTAATTTTGTATTTTTTGACGTATTTCATTGAAGTATAGTTGATCTGCAGTGTTGTTAGTTTCTGCTATACAGCTAAAGTCACACACACACACACACACACACACACACACACACATATGTATGTAAATACACAAATGCCAAAGAATGCTCAAACTACTGCATGATTGTACTTTTCTCACATGCTAGCAGAGTATTGCTCAAAATTCTCCAAACCAGGCTTCAACAGTATATGAACCGTGAATTTCCAGATGTTCAAGCTGAATTTAGAAAAGGCAGATGAACCAGAGATCAAATTGCCAACATCCATTGGATCATCGAAAAAGCAAGAGAGTTCCAGAAGAACATCTACTTCTGCTTTATTCACTATGCCAAAGCCTTTGACTGTGTGGATCACAACAAAGTGGAAAGTTCTTAAAAAGATGGGAATACCAGACCATCTGACCTGCCTCCTGAGAAATCTATATGCAGGTCAGGAAACAATAGTTAGAACTGGACATGGAACAACAGACTGGTTCCAAATCGGGAAAGGGGTACTTCAAGGATGTATATTGTCACCCTGCTTATTTAACTTATATGCAGAGTACATCATGAGAAATGCTGGACTGGATGAAGCACAAGCTGGAATCAAGATTGCCAGAAGAAATATCAATAACCTCAGATATGCAGATGACACCACCCTTGATGAAAGTGAAAGAAACTCCAATACTTTGGCCACCTGATGTGAAGAGCTGACTCATTTGAAAAGACCCTGATGCTGGGAAAGATTGAAGGCGGGAGGAGAAGGGGACGAGAGGATGAGATGGTTGGATGGCATCACCGACTCAATGGACATGAGTTTGAGTAAGCTCTGGGAATTGGTAGTGGACAGGGAGGCCTGGCGTGCTGCAGTCCATGGGGTCATAAAGAGTCAGACACGACTGAGTGACTGAACTGAACACATATATACACACTGTTTTTTCATTATGGTCTTTTACAGATTGTTGGGGAATACAATTCCCTGTCCTATACAGCAGGACCTTGTTATTCATCTGTTCTATATAGCAGTTTGCATCTGCTAATCTCAAGCTCCCGATCCATCCTACCCCTTCCCTTGGCACCCACACGTCTGTGCTCTGTGAGTCTATTTCTGTTTTAGAGGTAAGTTCAGGGCTTCCCTCATAGCTCAGTTGGTAAAGAATCTGCCTGCAATGCAGGAGACCTGGGTTCGATTCCTGGGTCAGGAAGATCCCCTGGAGAAGGAAATGGCAATCCAGTCTAGTCTTCTTGCCTGGAGAATCCCATGGACAGAGGAGCCTGGCAGACTACAGTCCATGGGGTCGCAAGAGTCGGACACAACTTAGTGACTAAACCACCAAACCATCATTTATGTTAAAATTTAGATTCCACATATAAGCTTTATCACATGGTATTCTCTTTCAGACTTGATTTAGTATGATAATGTCTAGGTCCATCTGTGTTGCTTCAAACGGCATTATTTCATTCTTTTTTATGGCTGAGGAGTATTTCATTGTGTATACACCACATCTTTATCCACTCATCTGTTGATGGACATTTAGGTTGCTTCCTTGTCTTTGCTGTTGTAAATGCTGCTGCTATGAATAAAGTATCATTTTGAATTATCTTTTTGTATCTTTTAGAATTAGAGTTTTGTCTAGATACTTGCTCAGGGATGAGATTGCTAAATTATATTGCAACTCTATTTTTAGTTTTTTTATGGAAAATTCCATACTGTTTTCCATAGTGGCTCTACCAATTTACATTCCCCCCAGCAGTGTAGCAGGTTTCCCTTGTCTTCACACCCTGTCCAACATGTTGACCATTCTGACTGATAGGAGGTGTTACCTCATTGATTGTTCCTTTTAACAAGAAGTGCTTCAGTAAATCTTCATGAGCAGTATACAGCATAAAGACTGTTTTGGAAGAAACTAGAAAAGTACAGAATAATATTTTGATATGTGGCAGTCTTCACTGTGGCTGTACAATTTGCATTTTCTGTCCTAAACTATTATGTTCAAAAAATAATCAAAAGAAAGATAATAACTATTTAAGGGAGCTTCAAATAATCTTTCAAAGCTTGAAATGGAGGGTACTACCTTCTGCTATATAGTAGAATACAAAAAAATACACTTCTGAGATTCTTTACATCTTAGAGAATTTTCACTTTTGTGCTTGCCTTAACCAGCTCCAAACTTAAAATTTTTTCTGCACCTTGTCCAATAATGCTGAAACAAACACTCAGAACACCTGAGCCTTATCCAATTCAAAACTCAAGAAAAGTTTCAATTCTGTGACTATTTGGAGGCATTAGTGGACTAAAGAATTTTAGTATTGTAGCTTCTCAGGAAAGGTAGGTTTAATGCATCATTCGGGGGATTAACTCAACATTCATTCATTCACTGATCATTCGTGGATCCTTGGCTTCATGGCAAGCAGTAAAAGGCGCTGGCCCAGCGCAGCCCTGCCCTGCTGTTGGCGCCGGGCCTTGTGCACTGCTGGCCTCCGCCTGCAGAAGTGCTGATTTGCTGGCTCTTGGGTGGAGCCTCAGAAATGGCCTCTCCTAGGAGCACGCACATGATGCTGACTGACAGCCTCGTCCGCAGATCACACTTTGAGTAGCTCCCACCTGAGTGAATGATGATCGGGGAGGAGTCTGTACAGGAATACACCAGTAGTTCTAAGAGGCAGTAGAAAAATGCCTTGGTTATCAATGAGAAGGAGCATCTAGATCAGCCACCAGTGGAAGAAGAAGTGATGCTGAGCTGGACTTTAAAGGATGTGTTAGAATTATTTAGTGTAGACTCATGACACAAATTAAAAGGGAAGGAATAAGGATTGGGGCTTTCCATGTGGCGCTGGTGGTAAAGAAAATGCCTGGTAAAGAACAGGTAAAGAACCCTGTTAATGCAAGGAGACATAAGAGACGCGGATTTGATCCTGGGTTGGGAAGGTCCCCTGGAGGAGGAAATGGCAACCCAGTATTCTTGCCTGGAGA